GATGAATTGTAGTGTATTTACAGTATTATTTTTTTTTACTGTAACTGTACAGTAAATTCTAAAAAAGTTAAATCTGGTCCTCTGGACATTCAAAAAACAAAACAAAGCCAAAAAAATAAATAAATAAATTGTAGAAGCGTTTCGTCTTTCATCCGAAAGACTTCTTCAGTCTGAGGTGTTGTATTCAGCTCAGTCTTATAAATACTACTTTCTTGTAATGGATCAACCAGTTTGCTGCTGACAACCAAAACCAGCTGCTCACATGATCAAGAAGGACCATCAGCCTAACAATGGATCATTAGGACACTGATGGCTGTTTACTATGCTCAGGGGGCTGAGTGATACTAGCAATAACAGCATTGTAAGAGGTGGACAGTTGAACACGGAGGCCTCCACCTCTGTTTCATGATGAATGGTTTATTTTCACAAAGATGGCCTCCTTTACTCTCTCAAACCATCGTTCCTCTCTATCAAGGATGTGAACATCTTCATCACTGAAAGAGTGGAGATGAGTGTAGACCACAGAGTCGTGGCCTGATGATGTTGATCTTCTGTGCTGGGCCATCCTTTTGGCCAGTGGCTGTTTAGTTTCCCCGATATAAGACTGATCACAGCCCTCCTGACACTGAACAGCATACACAACATTACTCTGTTTGTGCCGGGGGACTGGATCTTTGGGATGAACCAGTCTTTGCCGTAATGTATTTTGGGGTTTAAAAGCCACTGGGACGTTAAGTTTAGAAAATAAGTCTCAGTTTCTCTGATACTCCCACAACATACGGAACTTCCACTGGTCTGTGTCTGGGTTCCTCCTTTTCACCTGATGGCTGACTGGAGTCCTGTTTGGGTTTCTTCTCTGCTTTCAGGAAGGCCCAGTTAGGATATCCACATTGCTCTAGAGCCTGTCTTGTGTGGGATTTCTCATTCTGCCTGGCTCCTGAGCTAGTGGGGATGCTGTCTGCTCTGTGATACAGAGTCCTGATGACACCTAACTTGTGCTCCAAAGGGTGATGGGAGTCAAACTGCAAATACTGGTCTGTGTGGGTGGGTTTGCGGTACACCTCAGTTTGCAAATGTCCTCTGTCAAAAACTGAGACCTCACAGTCCAAGAAAGTCAGCCTGCCATTTGTTTACATCTTCTCATTTGAACTTGATGTATTTATCCACAGAGTTGATTTGATCAGTAAAATGTTGGACTTACTGAGATTTAATTTTAACCCAGATATCATCAACGTACCTGAACCAATGACTTGGTGGTGTCCCTGAAAAGGACGTCAAGGCTCTCTTTTCTACCTCCTCCATGTACAGGTTTGCAACAATAGGAGAAACTGGAGACCCCATAGCACACCCATGTTTCTGCCTATAATATTGTTCCCCGTATGTGAAGTAGGTTGACTGCAGGCACAGTTTCAAGAGTTGACACAGTTCTGTGGAAAGTGTGGTCCTGCTGCTCAGAGTGGTGTCTGATTTTAATTTTAAACTGACCACCTCTACTGCATCATCAACAGGAATGCACGTGAAGAGTGATGTGACATCAAAAGAGACCATTGTTTCATCAGTCTCCATGATGACATCCCTCACCTTATCCACAAAGTCCATGGTGTTCTGTATGTGGTGTTCTGAGCTGCCAACTAAAGGGATGAGTACAGACGCCAGATATGTGAAATATATATATATATATATATATATATATATATATATATATATATATAAATAATATACAGGTCCTTCTAAAAAAATTAGCATATTGTGATAAAGGTAATTATTTTCCATAATGTAATGATAAAAATGAAACTTTCATATATTTCAGATTCATTACACACCAACTGAAATATTTCAGGTCTTTAATTCTTTTAATACTGATGATTATGGCAAACAGCTCATGAAAACCCAAAATGCCTGTCCCAAAAAATTTGCATATTTCATCCCACCAATGAAAGACAAGTGTTTTTAATACAAAAAACACCAACCTTCAAATAATCATGTTCAGTTATGCACTCAATACTTGGTCGGGAATCCTTTTGCATGAATGACTGCTTCAATGCGGCGTGGCATGGAGGCAATCAGCCTGTGGCACTGCTGAGGTGTTATGGAGGCCCAGGATGCTTCGATAGCGGCCTTAAGCTCATCCAGAGTGTTGGGTCTTGTGTCTCTCAACTTTCTCTTCACAATATCCCACAGGTTCTCTATGGGGTTCAGGTCAGGAGAGTTGGCAGGCCAATTGAGCACAGTAATACCATGGTCAGTAAACCATTTACCAGTGGTTTTGGCACTGTGAGCAGGTGCCAGGTCGTGCTGAAAAATGAAATCTTCATCTCCATAAAGCTTTTCAGCAGATGGAAGCATGAAGTGCTCCAAAATCTCCTGATAGCTAGCTGCATTGACCCTGCCCTTGATAAAACACAGTGGACCAACACCAGCAGCTGACATGACACCCCAGTGACTGTGGAAACTTGACACTGGACCTCAAGCAATGTGAACTCTGTGTCTCCTCTCTTCCTCCAGACTCTGGGACCTTGATTTCCAAAGGAAATGCAAAATTTACTGTAATCAGAGAACATAACTTTGGACCACTCAGCAGCAGTCCCAGGCGAGATGCTTCTGACGCAGTCTCTTGTTCAAGAGGGGCTTGACCTGGGGAATGTGGCACCTGTAGCCCATTTCCTGCACACGCCTGTGCACGGTGGCTCTGGATGTTTCTACTCTAGACTCAGTCCACTGCTTCCGCAGGTCCCCCAAGGTCTGGAATTGGCCCTTCTCCACAATCCTCCTCTGGGTCCGGTCACCTCTTCTCATTGTGCAGCGTTTTCTGCCACACTTTTCCCTTCCCACAGAGTTCCCACTGAGGTGCCTTGATACAGCACTCTGGGAACAGCCTATTCGTTCAGCAATTTCTTTCTGCGTCTTACCCTCTTGCTTGAGGGTGTCAATGATGGTCTTCTGGACAGCAGTCAGGTCGGCAGTCTGATATATATACATGTATACATGTATATATATATACATGTATACATATATATACATATATTTATATATATATATGTATGTATGTATATATATATATATACTGTATATTATAAGACTGAGCTGAATACAGAACCTCAGACTGAGGAAGTCTTTGGGATGAAAGACGCTATGTTTCTACAATTTTATTTATTTATTTTTTTTATGTCCAGAGGACCAGATTTAACTTTTTTTAGGCCCTTGTAAGTGTTTTTGATTTAATTAGCTGATTAGATTGTGGCACTAGGTGTCTTCAATATTGAGCCTTTTCACAATATTCCCATTTTCTGAGATACTGAATTTGGGGTTTTCATTAGTTGTCGGATATAATCATCAACATTAAAATAAATAAACATTTGAAATATATCGGTCTGTGTGCAATGAATGAATATAATATACAAGTTTGCTATGGTATGGTATGGTATGGTATAAAGTTTATTCATTAAAAAAAAAATCCATATACTATATAAAAACATACAAGCGATTTAAAATGAAAGGCAGCAGAAAGAAGAAAAAAATCTTATTATATCTGCCCCTTTTTTTAAACAATTATTTAAATCATAATAATCTTCAAGTTTCACTTTTTGAATGGAATTACTGAAATAAATCAACTTTTTCATGATAGTCTAATATTATTACCAGCACCTGTATACTGACACCATCCCTATTATCCATAACATAATCAATATTTTATGTAATAAAAAATTAATTGATGAAAAAACATAATAAATGTCTATTGGGCTCCACAGAACTGAGACCCAGACTGTTTTACATGCTTCCAAAGATCCATAAAGAGTCGGACAAATGGAGTAAACCACACAAAATTCCTCCTGGAAGACCGATAGTATCGGATTGTAGCCACGAAACGTACCATATGGCTGAATATATAGCTCATTATTTAACTCCATTATAGAATAAACACGAGAGTTACATTAAAGACAAATGACTTTTCAATAAAATAACAAACCTAGACTCACATGAAGCTGCTCTCCTTTTCACCAATGATATAGACAGCTTATACACTAATATTGATACAAGAGAGGGTATTGAAGCAGTAAAACAAATGTTCCAGAAACATCCTGATACAAAGGGACCTCATGAGGAGCTGCTTTAGCTGCTGGAGATTAGTCTCACCAAAAATAATTCTGAATTTAATGGGGGGTTCTTTTTACACACCAAAGGCACAGCTATGGGCAAAAAGTTTGCCCCTGCTTATGCAAATATATTTATGGCAGAATGGGAAACTTCAGCATTGCAGAAGTGTTTAAAAGAAACCTTTGCATTATTACAGGTATCTAGATGACATTTGGGGAGTCTGGACCCACTCAGAGAGGGACTTTAAGAACTTCTTGGACTTACTGAACACATATAATCCCTCCATTAAACTTAAAGCAACTAAACTCCTTTCTCTAAACCTAACTGTTTGCCCTCTGACCCTAAACTCATACTCTGACAGGAACCCTGGTCCCATCGCCCACATAATACTCACCCTACATGAAGCCCCTGGTGGGGTATGGGAATAGCTGCAGGCCTGGGTGGGGGGATAGGTTTCATGCAGGTGATCTGGTGCAGTGATGGACTGTGCACAAATTCTGTTGCTGAAGGTGACAGAATTCTTATTGTTCTTATCCTAACCATTCAACTGAATGGATGGATAGATGGATGGATGGTAAAGTCTATGAAATACCATCTGGTGGTTGATTCTTGATCTAGAACAAGAGTGGTATATCTCTCAGTAGATGTGTGCTGCCACTCATGTTGCAATGTGAACACCTGCGGCTTATACACAAGTGTGGCTTATTTATGTACAAACTCTTAAAAATGCATTTACTGTGTGCAGCTTATATTTGGGTGCACTTTAATGACTGACGATTAAGGTAATAATAATAATTGTGACCATTTTTGTCAATGGAACTTCTTTTTTCCATGCCAGTGGAGCCATTTTAATTTGAATACAAATTTGATTCCAGAACAACCTGACCAGCTGTAACTTTTCTTACCTTCAGAAGTTTGGCCACGTTAGGGTTGAATGAAGATGTTTTGATGTACTGGAGAAACAGAGTACAGATCCTATTTCTCAGGCCTTCAAGACTAGATGCCTTTACCCCTCGTGACATCAGGTCCACTTCCCGATTAACCAAATCCATTATATCTTGAGTCAGCTGACAGATGTGTTCCTGTCCAAACAGATCATTAGTAGTGACAATAGTTTCTCTGTGCAACCAGAATATACAGCATTCATGTAAATCAGCAGTGTGCAGTCCTTGAGAGCCCCCTGAGAGGGTGGAGGACAACGCATCTCCCATTTTCCGGCCTGTCTGCCTGAGTGCTCCAATGGTTTTGTTCTTGGTCTATGTTCTTTTGTTTTATATTTTATTTTCTTCCAATTCCTATCCAGAATGTTGTTTTTGTTTTGGATGTTGTTATTGTAGGGCATCAGGAGCTGTTACTCAGAGTTCTGTCCTGATCTTTGGTTCTTTGCGTTTTATTTAACAGACTTGTTGAAGTTTTTTTTTTTTGTTTTTTTTTTGATAATGTTTTTAGTGTCTAGACTACTGTTAAACTCCTAGTCTAAACTCTTGATCCTCAGATTATCTTTAGTCACTCAGTTTGTCTGCTTGCCAGTTTGTTTTGTGATCTTCAGTTTTTGTCTTGGAGTTTTGGATTGTTTTGCTGTCATGAGTACTATTTTGTTTTATTCATTGTCTAACTTTTTAATGAATCCATGCATGAAACTACATCATTGTTTATTTTTACCTTAAAACTTGACAGATTCATAAACAAAACAGTTCATCAGCAGATTTAGCAACATTAAGCACAGATTATCTATATTTAGGCCCGAGCAGCAAAGCGCTGCGAAGGCCTATTGTAATTGTGTCGTTTCTTATTATTCTTCTTCTTATTCTTTTCCAAGTTTAAGCGCTTATTTGGAGGGGTTAGCATATTTGAAACCTAGCCAAACTTTACCCAAAATTGTCCCCCGCGAGAAATAGTAGTATGATAATGGAACTAAAAGTGGGCGCGGCCAAACTGCTCTACAGCGCCCCCTAACGTGAGATATGACAACTGGTAAGTCCTAGAGAGCTGAAATTTGGTACATATGTAGAACCCACCGAATCATGAAAAAAAGTCTCTTGGAGGTATGCCTTAAACCCAACAGGAAGTCGGCCATTTTGGGTCAAAGGGTCAATTTTGGCCGTTTTTCACTTTTCGTACACGGCGAATTTGAACGAACTCCTCCTAGGGATTTCGCTCAATCGGTTTCAAACCTTCGCCATTTTGCTCAGTAGGCATGGGGGACCTAAAGTTATCAAAACGGTGCAAATTCACGCATGTTGAGGGGGCGGGGCCGGACCTCAAAATTATGCTTCACGC